ATCATCATCATCACTGTCTTTATTATTGTCCTCATTATTGTTATAATTTTTACTGTTGTATTGTTATCATCATTATTGTCATTATTGGTCTTATTTGCTATTATTATTATATTGGTATAATTTAATTTTGTTATGATTTTAATATCTTTAATTGTTATTGTTTCTAATTATTATTGTTATTATTAATTATTTATATTTTTATATTATTATCAGACTTTTATTATCATTATTATAGTTATTATTATCATTGTAATTATTCTTGCTATTATTATTATTATTATTTTATATGTTTTTTTTATTATCATTATTATTATTATTTGATTATTATTATCAGATATATTTTTGTTATTGTTTTTAATGGTAATGATATTATTATTGTTACTATTGTTATTATTATTATTATTTTGGTATTATTATCAATATTATTATCAATATTATTATTATAATCATTATGATTCTTGTTATTGTCTTTATCATCGTCGCTGCCATTATTATTATCAGTGTTATTATTTTATTTTTGTTATTATGATTAATATTATTGTTATTGTCGTTGTTATTATTATTATTATTTGTATTAGTACTAGTATTAGTATAATATGTTGTTATTGTTCATATTATTATTATATTATTATTATTATTATTATTGTTATTGTCTTTGTTGTTAAGGTCATTATTATTATTATTGTTAGTTATTGTTGTTATTATTGTTATTATCATTATTACTATTATTATTACTACCATTTTCATTGAATTAAAGTTAATGTTCAGTCAAAGCCAAATGGATGATTTAGTTACAATACTATTTTAGATAACAATTGATAATAATTGACTGCTTCTGACTAAGGCCATTCAGTAATGGCTAACATAGAAATTGTTCAGGATTAATGTGAGCATTTCTTTTTTCTAGGGAGTTGTAAATATAAACAAGAAAGATGTTTGGTTTTATGAAGAAAGACAAGGACAAGGAGGATGAGAAGAAGAAGAAAAAAGACAAAAAGGACCGCAAGGAGGCCAAGCGATCTAAAGATAGAGCCACACTGACGCTAGACGAGCTCAAGAGACTAGATGAAGCTCGACGGAGTCTCATTGGAAAGAGCAGAAAGAAGAAGGAGGATAAACTACCCAGTGGCATCACGGCTGACTACATGGAACAGTTCAGGTCTGGGCTGGGCAGTGATCAGTCCGAGGTGGATTTGAGTTCGGCTGGAACCTTCCAAGAGCTGAGAGAGCGCTATGAGGCCATGGCATCAGCCTCAAGCCTCCACAGTGACTCAAGCAGCGATGGGATCTCACTGAGGTCTGGTTCTGGTCTTCCTCCGAGGCCTCCTAAGAGAGGGATTCTAAAAGGCCGTGCTGATGGGGAGGGGACAGAGTATCAGGGCGTCAAAGGCGATATAGATGACGAGTCTAGCCTGCTTCAAAACACTATGCAAAATGAATTAATAATGTATGAAAATCTCCTGCAGGAAAAAGGGATAGTAGAAGCCCAGAGATTGTCAATCACGTCCTTAACAAGTCCCCGTAGAGTGTCCAATGGGTCAGCCCCTGTGAGCCCGAGAAGCCCCCCGCAGAAGGTCATGAGCCCCATACAACCCACACATCCTAAGTTCATAGTGGAGCATGCACCCCCTGAGGTGCCTGACCCCACCAGTCCACCTCCTACACCCACCAGTCCCATTCCTGTAGGAGAGAGTGTCGGCCACCATCACACCAAAACTTTTGCTGTAGACCTGAGACTACCAGAACTAGTGCCTCCTCAGCCTCCAGCACCACGCACCCTCACCATCCCTCGCTCACCAGCAGGAGACTTTGGCTTCTCATTGAGGAGGGCGCAGGTTGTGGAGCGAGGTCCTGACAACTCCGAGACCAGGCGCACTATTGTCTTTGCTGAGCCAGGTGCTGTTGGAAGGGCCAATGTCACAGGGCTCCTACCTGGTGACCGGTTACTACAGGTCAATGGCATTAGTGTAGAAAATAAAATACGTGATGAAATAATTGAACTAATCAAGGCATCACCCGACTGTGTCACACTTGTGGTAAGTACCTGGAGCTTTTTTTTGTTGAGTTTTCTGAGTCCTCATCTCCTTTCTACTTTTTTGTTGTTCTTCACACACTAACTAGCTTTTTCTTACTGTTTATGGTTTATATTATGTGATATTGAAAGTTCTGTATTCGTAATCTTATGTCAGCAAGATAATTTCCAATGATTAACTAGAACAGTAAGACAATGAGTATGTATGTATTATGATGTATATGTATACAATATATATGTGTGTGGTTGTGCACTTGCTTGTATGTGTGTTTATAAATAAGTATTTGTTAGAACATACATTTAAGTGTGTGTTTGCTTGTGTTGATATGGCTGTGAGTCTATATTTATCTGAATGATCTCACAGGATGATGCAGTCATTTGGGAAATTATAGCATTTATTTAGCAAGGAAAATTTTTTGGGTCATATTTTATTTTCTCATAATCATCTCTTATTTTCTCTAGTTACTTTTAAATTGCTTGTAATTTTTTTTTATTCCTTTATGATTATGTGAGGCCTAAAATAGATGAATTTATAAGATATGTAAGATGTCATGTAGCTCCTTGGGTTAGTATGATTTGATTATTATACAGTTTCTATAAGTCCTGATAAGTATGTACTCTTTCATGTTGTGGACAGAAAATAATTTGGAGAAGTCTTATGCCTGTTTGCTTCTATTTGTCTGTGTGTGTGTTTATGTATGTATATCGATTTTCTCTGTGATTCAGACAAAAATAAGACATAATTTGTAACAAAAAGGAACTAAGGTTATTGGCCAATATGAAAATCTTTGGAAAAAAAAATAGATCCATTAGAGTAAGTGTAAGGGAGGGGAGAGTCCGTGGATGAATGAATAAATGAAGAATTAATAAGTGAGTGAGTGAGTGAATGAATAAATGAGCAAGTGAGTGAGGGACTAATTTTATATCCAGATGACTGGCCATTTGATCACTGAATGAGTGAATGAGGCAATGAATGAACGAGTGAGTGAGTGAGTGAGTGAGCAAGCGAGTGAGGGACTGATCTTGTATCTAGATGACTTGTCGTTTGATCACTGTGAGGTTTCCCGCTATTGGGTTAAGGGACATGGGTCTGGTGAACATAATCCAGTTACCCATGCTGTTATATGTTATTGGTTTATTTGTCGTTTTCTTGATGTACTTGTTTTTTTTTTTTGTTTATTTATGTATTATTTATTTTATGTATATTTATTTTGCTTCGTTATGTAGTATTGGTGCATGTATTCATGCCTTTGACTAGTTGATGAATCGGTTTGTTTGCTTGTTTGTTGAAAAATTGGTCTGTTGGTTTGTTTGTTTGTTGATAAATCGGTTTCTCTATTTGTTTATATTGTTTTTGTTGCCTGTTTACAATTATGCTTCTTTTTCTGTGCCTCTAACTATGAGCTCTGAATGGACACAGCATTGAAACCTCACGATGTTTAACGGAATAGTGAGGTTGGGGCGGGACGGTATGCACAGCTCTGGCCCGCTGCACAGTCGCCTCTTTCAGTGATGTTGCGTAATTTCTTTCTTTGTTGGTGTTGCATTGGCCGATCACATTTTTCTGTGTTGTATAGCCATATTCGTGATCATATTCTTGTGTGTGCTGTGTAATCGTATTCCTGATCATATTTTTAAAAGTATGGCGTAGGCCTCATCGTTTTCTTAATGGTATTCTTGTTAAGTATTTTTCGTATTCTTCATTGGTAGTACCCTCAATCCCAGGTCGAAAAACTCCACCATCAACACCAGTAGTCCTTATTACCAAGGTCATTTACAGTAGACCTTGGCTAAAAGATACCACGACGTTATTGCGTGTTCAGAAGTCGGACCTCCGCCCCCTCCCTCTCCCCTCCCTCCCTCCTCGGCTGTCTGGTATCCTCGGAACCGGTTGTCGAGCCGTCGGTACCGTCGGAGTGACTCACGATGCTTGTTGCGGGTGTGGGCGTCATCTCCGTGCGTGACGGGGTACTGCCACGGGGGTCATGGCGCCGCGCCAAGTTGTTGAGAGGGTGCCATGCCCGAGCATAGGGGAGTGGAAGCGGTGGCGGGAAAGGGGGAGAAGGGAGGCGGAAGAGGGGAGAGGGGAGAGGGAAGGAGGGAAGAAGGGGGAGGGAGGGGGAGAAGGAGAAGAAGAAGGAAGAATTTCGCGCGCGTTAATTTCACTTCAAATTGCTACCGCGTGGCTTGTTATGGCGTCGAGGCGGTTGGTTAGAGGAGAGGAAGTTGGCGATTTAGGTCCTTGAGGCGACGGCGAAGGAGCGGGCGAAGGAAAGGGCGGAGGAGTGGGTGAAGGAGAGGGCGAAGGAGAGGGCAGAGGAGAGGGCGAAGGAGAAGGCGAAGGAGAGGGCGGAGGAGAGGGCGGAGGAGTGGGTGAAGGAGAGGGCAAGAAAGGGCAGAGGAGAGGGCGAAGGAGAAGGCGAAGGAGAGGGCGGAGGAGTGGGTGAAGGAGAGGGCGAAGGAGAGGGTGAAGGATGGGTGAAGGAGGAGTTCCCAATCACGGGCGGCGGCGGGTGTGTGTGTGTGTGTGGGGGGGGGGGTGGCATCACGGTGCCACCTGACCCCGGAGATCACAGGATGGCGGAAGGAGGATGAGAGAGGGAAGGAAAGGAGGAATGAATGAATGAAGGAAGGAAGGAAGGAAGGAAGAATTTATGAAAATAAGTAAGGGATCAAGTGAATTAAGAAAGAGAGAGATAGAGAGAGAGAGAACGAGAACGAGAACGCGAAAGCGAAAGAGGGAAGAGAAAGAAAGTGTAATTTTACCACGGGCGAGGACGGATTAGTACGCCCAGACGCCTCGGCTTCACCCGCTGGAGTGTTCTCTTGTCGTGCACAAAGACAACAAGGAAAGTTCTTGGTTTCTTTTGGGGTCCGAGTGCATTGTGTCGCTGCTCGCGGAATAGGGTGTGAAAGGAGAAGAGTGTGTGGTGGGGGGGAGAGGAAGAGGGAGAATGGGGTAAAGGAATGAGGGAGAAGGGGGTAAAGGAATGAGGGAGAAGGGGGGGGATAGGAATGGAGGAGAAGGGGTGATGAGGAATGAGGGAGATGGGAGAGATAGGAATGGAGGAGAAGGGGTGATGAGGAATGAGGGAGATGGGAGAGATAGGAATGGAGGAGAAGGGGTGATGAGGGATAAGGGAGATGGGAGAGATAGGAATGGAGGAGAAGGGGTGATGAGGAATAAGGGAGAAGGGGGAGATAGGAATGGAGGAGAAGGGGGAGATAGGAATGGAGGAGAAGGGGTGATGAGGAATGAGGGAGATGGGGTAGAAAGGAAGAAGGGAGAAAGAATGAAGGGGAATGAGGGAAAAAGGGTAAGAGAAGGAGGTGAGGAGGAATAAATGAGATGGGGATGAAGAGGAATGAGGGAAAGTGGGGAAAAGGAATAAGAGGGAAGGGGTACAGAGGAAAAAGGGAGAAAGTGTGAAAGAGGAACGAGTGGAAGGATAAATGGAATGGGGGAGAAGCGATAAAGGGGAATGAGGGAGAAGGGAGACGGAGGAATAAAGAGGAAGAAGGTTAACAGTGTTAGGGAAAACTAGTAGAAAGGGAAGAGGGAGAGGTTATAAAGGAACACCAATAAAGAAAAAAGAGAGAAAAGATATAGGAGAATGAGGGATAGAAGGCAAGGAAATAAGGATTGAGATACCCAGGGGGAAGAAGAGGAAATGAGAGAGAAGTAAGGAAAAACATGAATATGATAGAAAAGATTAAAGAAAGAGCAGAATGAATTCAGATAAAAAGAGATGAAAAGAGAATAGAAAGGGATACGTCAAAAGGAAAAAGAGAGAGAGCGAGAGAGATAAAAAACGAGATACAGAGATAACGATACGTGGAATATCACGGGAAAATATAAAGATAAAGACAGCAGCGAAGACAGAGAGAACAGAACAGTTAAAAGCTCCCTCTTATCTCCTCTCCGCGATAAGCGAGTCCCGTCCTCCGACCTCGCAGGGGAGCGGAGGCGCCGTTGCCAACTGGGCTTCGCCGGCGGTCATCTCCCGGGCCGCGCGGGCCGTTTCTCTCAAAGGGGGTGACGTCATCGGCTCTTCATAGAGAGAGAGAGAGAGAGAAAGAAAGAAAGAAGAAAGAAAAGAAAGAAAAGAAAAGTAAGAAGGAAAGAAAAAAAGAAAAAAAGAAAAGAAAGAAAAAAGAGTGAGTTAGTGAGTGAGTGTGTCGATCTCTTTGTAACTGTCTTTGTGCATGTATGCTGTATATGTTGGCCTAAGTATGTGCATTTTTATTTGTTATTGTGTGCATGTGTGTATTTGTTTCGTGTGTACAGTCCGTACATACATGTGTAAACGTGCGAGAGTCGATGCACATGATTTTCCTCGCCGAATGCCGCGCCGCCGCGTCCTGCGCGTGGCTGATCGGCGACCGTCGCGAGGCTCAGGCGGGCTCTCCCTTTGCATGTGGCTCCTTCCGGGCTCGCCAGCCCTCCACGTTTTTGGTTTATATCAGGATTTGATTTTTATTACTTCTGTTGCTGTTTTATTATTATTTTTATTGATTGATTGTATTATTATTACTATTTGCTTTTTATTTTGATTTATTATTTTTTTCTTTCGTTATTTTATTTTATTTCTATTTCATATTCCTTTTATTTTTATTTTTATTTTTATTGGCCCATATTCATTTTGTTGCACAGAAGCTTATCATTGTTGTGTCTTATCGCGGCCCAGAATCCTGGGAAAGCGAGATCTCGTATCGCACTTTTGCATTTTTCTCTCCGTTTTTTTTTTTTTTTTTTTTTTTTTTTTTGCCTTCTTTCTTTTCTTTTTCTTATCTTTCTTATATATTTACTGTTTTCCCTTTTGCCTCTTTTTCTTCCATTCTTTTATTTTTTATTTTTTACTTTTTTTTATTATTTTTTTCTTCTTCCCCTCCGCGATGTCCTTGCTCCTTTTTCTCGTGAGCTAACCCCCGGGGAGGGGGGGGGGGTGAAGCATTAGTTGATTGGGGAAGAGGTGTGTGGTTGTGTGTGGGTTGGGGGGGTGCGGGGAAGGGGGAGAAGGAGAGTGAGAAAGAGAAAGGTTGAGGGTGAGGAAGAGGGAAGGGGAGGAAAAGGAGGGAGGGAGATGGAAAATAGAGGGAGAGATATTGAACAGAGAGGGAAGGGAGGAATGTTGGTTAGGAAAAGGAAAAGAGAGAGAGAGCGAGAGCGCGAGAGAGAGGAAGAGAGAGCGAGAGAGAGGGGAAGAGAGAGAGGAGGGGAGAGGGCCGGGTGGAATGGTGCAGTATGCAAGAGGGAACCTGCAGCTGCATGTAAAGGGGATCAGGCATACTGAAGCTGCATTCCCGGTCTTTCGCGATTAATAGATATATCTTTATCAAAGGGGAGTATTGTATATATTGTATATTATCATTATCATCACAATCATCGTCATCGTCATCGTC